ACAGCCTGCGCTGAATACAGCTGCAACATTATGGAATTCCCCTATGGGGCCTGAGTGTGTGTTCCATATGTGCTTGATCCAGTGATCCGGGGTAATAATGTTCAGCGCATAGAGAAGTTTGATATGCGCTATATAAGTATACAATAATAATAATAATAACCCAACTAAATGTTTTAATGGACAAAAAGAAAATTATGTTCAAATTTAAGTCCGAGAGTGTAATATCCGTCCATCTAGAGGTGCCTTAATTATAAATTTTCTTACCTCAGCCCAAACAATGGTGGGGCTGAGGTGGGGACCCTCCGTCCGAGGAGGATTTGTGAGAGGTGTAGTGTCTGGATCAACCACTTGGTTCACATGCATTATATTACTAAAGGTTTAGGCCTAATAAGAGAACAAGTAGCAAAAAAGCACCAATTGAAAAGACCTAGTACTAGATTATGTAATAAAATTTCAATCTCATACCTTAAAAAACCTTACCCATAATTGATATCAGCAATACAATACAACAATTATTTTTCTTAATACAATACAATGCACATCCCCCCTCCCCGGCATCCGCTCCAGATGTCTGAAATGAATACTTATTGCACATAATTGTGTCCTGTTCAATTCCATATACTTAATAATAATAATTAGGAACTATACTTTTCGTCAGTGGCACACTTCTCACTGGAAGGTGCGTTTAAAACAAAGCAAAGTTTCCAAAACATACTTGAACAGATAAAAATTCACTTCAAATTTTAAAAGGAACATTTTTATAGGTAAGATGTAACAAGCCTACATTTTTATGATTATCATTCCAGTGCCCTGTGAGAGCCAGCCATGCCAAAACGGAGGCCAGTGCGTGGATGTCCCCGGGGGAGCATTTTATATTTGCACGTGTGCAGACGGATATCAAGGAACAAATTGCGAAACAAGTACGTAAGCCTAAGCATCATTTGTAAAGTTATTAAGTTGCAAATACTGCCTTTTCAGATAATTAATTTAATGAAACAATTGTTTTTCTATTATATTCACTTTGACTTACAGTAATTGGTAGCTTTGATATGTGTCTTGGGAGAGAACCTCCTTGATATACTTTATATATATGCCTAATTTAATCAAGGAGGTATAAAAAAAATATTTTTATACCTCCTTGATTTAATGAAACAATTGTTTTTCTATTATGTTCACTGTGACTTACAGTAATTGGTAGCTTTGATATGTGTCTTGGGAGAGAACCTCCTTGTCAGAACGGAGGGGTTTGCAATCCAGATGACGTCGGGAGTGCATGCAATTGTCCCAATGGATATTCTGGTGATGATTGTGAGATAGGTAACACCTCTCTGCTTGCCTATGCTAGTTAAATCTCAGCATGCAAAAGGTGTTCTTGGAGCCATCTCTTTTTCTTTTAATTGCTTTGACATTATGCCTTACGACATTTTTTTTACTGAGAAAACATGCAATACACTTTTAACTATAATTGATCTTGAAAGCCACGAACGAATGTTTGATGCATTATTTAAATATTGCACACCAGACCACAAATAGGCCATAGTACTTGTTCTTTTAACTGTTTATTATCTTCGTTTTTCATTCTCATTTATATTTTGTTACAAATTGCCATGTTATTAAATGCATGCCCATCAAGTTTCTTAAGTCACGTTCCATTCGTCGGCATTCGGTTGAGTAAACAACACATGTACTTATTTTACATCAACACTATTACTATTTTGGTATCAATCGTGGGTTTACCTTTCTTAATGCAATGTTTGTTTATTTTCTGGTGTTAGGAATTTTTAATATTTACTACGAATTATTAATATTATTATTTGCTTTTAGTTAGTTAGATTTTAAAATAATGAAATCTGTATCATGTAGGCCTATATTTTCAATTCATTTAAAGCCAGGCTCCGGAGAGGAAAAAATGTTTGATATGTGGTTGAACTGATTTTTTCCAAGACAAAAAAAGGGTGTTTGACGATGAGATACAGAGTTTTGAATATATATATATTTTTTTTTAAATGACTAAGAAAGAGGCGTAACCACCCCTTTCGACTATTTCTCCAGTTTTTAAATATTAAAAAATCTGTATCTCATTTACTAATGTTACCGAGTTTTTTTACCTTTAAAAAAAACAATAATAATTTGTACAACATACAATATCGAAACATGTTTTCCTCCGGAGCCTGGCTTTAAAGCACTGTCACAGCCAACTTGCTTTTATATTTCCATTTCATTCATTTGATTTAACTGTGTTGTACACAGCAACATGATATTGAACGTATCTATTAAAAACCGAAACGTCCACTGATTAATCTCAGATAAGATAGTATAATACATACTCCAAGTATCGAAATGCACGCCATCGTGTCGGGATTCAATATTTCGACATTAATTATGTCATCATCACACTCTTGATAAAATCAATAATACTTAACCAAAGGCTGATTGTCATTTTAATGGTGCTTCACGTACAGTATGGTATATTGGGCAATTTAACATAAGAACAATAACAATATCGCATAATACATATCATAGACTCGTATAAACCATGTTGAAATTATTAAACGATGTTCAGCGTTACAAAAAACCTGATGGAAGTACAGTAAAGTTAATAATGGGTTCGAACTCAAAAACATTAGGGAACTTTCACAAGCTCACGAAAACGATGAGTACGGGTCATCAACATTGTTTAGACAACCATTCCCCTGCAGTTATGTCACAACGTAGGCGATTTATGCCTTTTGCATGAATCAAGGATCATATTCAGCTCGTTCAGCATATTGTCAAGAATGTTTTAGGCACGAATAAGGATTATGACAATTTCGTATTCGTTATCGTTTTCGTAATTTTGCGAAATCCCCCTAGGTATTGGTTTTATTATATATATTTATCATATTATTTTAACCAAGAGGATTCGCTATCAGTAAGCAATTTCTGTTCCAAAGGGCCCAGTACTTACAATTAATAAGACCTATGTAATTGATATGAAATATAATATATTGTAAATCTAATAAAAAAAAAATACATAATAATACTATTATTATTATTATTATTATTATATATATATAATATATATATATATATACATATAGATTTAAAAATACATATTGAGACATGACAATGGATAGAACTTGGTTTATATAATTCATATGATAAAACTAAACAACGTAAAGCTAATATACAAATGAATAATAATATTGTGGACCTAACATTCATAAAAAAAAACTTACAAATAGTTGTATTATGTATTTTATTATTTATACAAATATTTAACAATATTGAGACATGGTAATTGATAGAACTATCGGTTTATACTCAGGTATTTTAAAAATAATTATAAGCAAAATGCATGTTTTTTGTTTCATTCAAGTCATAAGCAAACTATTATGCTTTTTAACTAAATTGCATTTCTATGTGATGGTATGCACAGCAAGAAAAGGGGAAAACTAGTATAAACAAGGGGTAGCCATCACATTGCCAAAAATAATTGGGTGATATGGTAAGTTTAAAAATGTTTATAGGTTTAAGCTTAAGTTCTTACATATTTAAAATGCTTTGCTACTATTGCATGTCTTAACATATTTTTGTTTTTAATTCTTGTAGTTATTGTTGTCAATACTGATTAAACTTGAGCATTCTTTGAATTAGACAAATCTTACATTTAGTACTTGTTGACGGGTTCGGTCAGATTTCTGCCTTGTTCAAGCTATGCTCGGGTTGGTGGCCTGCCCAATTGGTGCAAACTGAAACATAATGATGGATAATTGCGCATAATGTTTTTGTTTTGAACAACGGTGATATATGTATCATTTATAAGTATTATATAATTACTATAATCATTAATTTAGGGATAAATACTGCAGTTATTATAATTGTTTTTAATGTGAAAAAGAATAATGTAACCATATAATTTATTAGGACAAAAATGATGGAAGCTAAGTCTTGATTGTTGAAGGTAGTTTAAAAAAATACTGTGTAGGAATCTTATTTCGCAGTTATAACTCTTGCGTCTGAAACCGCACAAATCAGGAAAACTGCGAGTAACTCACACAACGATGAATTTGCAGTCAAAAAACATTTAAAATTTGGTCTCATCCGAAGAATTCTCAATTTCAATCTACTATTTTATTTAAATTTAGAATTACATTAGTTCATTTTTTTTTTTTTTGCTAATGTCGATAAAATTTAAAATGATGTCTTAATCTCACTCATAAACTAATACTGATCGGTGTGTATATTGTATATTTCATTGCTGCAAATGTTTCCTAATGTTTGGGTGGGAAACATTCCCAGGGAGGGCCTGTGGGTAGTTGGCCTACTAGTAGATGAGTGGTAACATGTTATGCTTTCTGGATTTTCCACTCTCTTGATTACTTGTATAATATGCAATAACTATTTCACCTCATTCCACTCGATTCCTAAATTTGCAGTTACAACAGCGTGCAGTAATAATCCATGCGAGAACGGTGGTACATGTTTGCTACAGTCAGGCGTAAGTGGGTACACGTGTTCCTGTCTTACTGGCTTCACGGGTAGCGAGTGTCAGCTAGGTAAGTCCTGCCACTTTATTTTACGTGTATTATCAATTAATCTGTGTTTTAATATTGTAGCCTACCACGTATAACATTGTTGCTAACCTAACAATGTAAATGATGATCAATTTGTTTATGAATTGTTACTTGAATGTAACCTGCAAATAATGTATTTTTAAAATATGATAATTTTAGGATTCTTGACGAATTGTTATTATTAATAATGTCATTTTCCATAAGTATTCACTTATGTTTCTTTTCACTTTTTTTCAGAGGATGGCCCTTGCGGCAGCAGTCCGTGCCAGAATGGGGGACAGTGTAGCACATTTGCTAACAACTACTTATGCATATGTACTGAAAATTATATTGGTACAAACTGTGAAGCAGGTACTGTATTTTATGAAGCGAAGCACGATTGAACCCCAGATCTTTATCGTGTGCGTTCGATATAATTCGTATAAAATGTCAATGTTATATTCTGGCATAGTTTTATCTAATTACAATAATATTATTAACTCATGGGCCTATTCTTACTAATATAATTTTTCCATCGTGTGAACAGGGTTGTGTCATTATTTCAGCATTAGAAAAAATAAAACAAAATATATGAGTGTTGTATAATTGCTAATATCATGAAAGTCTGGAGTAGTATTGCTGAACTGCTTTGTGAAACAGTACGGTAACATGTTTTGATGCAGATTCAGTTTATATTTTTTAAAAGAAATATTCATTATTGTACAATAATATAATTAGTTTTCAACTTTAGGCCTGGTTATCATCTTGTTTACAGAAATATTGAATTCATTAACCGGGTAGAAATGTTTATTGGTAATAAACATATTAGGTAATTAGGTTTGGCAAGATAGAGAAATAAACAGCCATAGGACTAAATACTTTTATGAACAAATCGAAATGTTTTGTCGTAAACAAACTGTGTTATTTTGTCACCCCTCTACTTGCACACCACCCTCAGATGACCCATGTTTAGCGGATCCGTGTTTAAATGGAGGAACTTGTGTCACGTTCGCATTAACACAGTCTTTCGTGTGCTTTTGTGTGACCGGTTATTCAGGAGACACATGTGATACAAACGACCAGGGTGATATTAGACAACTGTTATTTTTGTATTTTTAGACATTATTTTTATTCTTGTAAACTCTTGTATTTTTAATACGGTATTATATATAGTTAATATTATATCAGCCTTATTATTACATTACCAGATATATATCTAGATGTGTATAAGAGACAGGAATAATACCTTTCAGTGTAGGCCTATTTTTCAGTACACTGAAAATCAGGTGTTTTCAGTGATTCGGCTTATCGCTGGTATATCTGTTGGTGTTTGGCTGCATGTTGGTTTTTAATTACAGTACTTGGTTCTTTATTTCTTTGAGGTTTATATTAATTTGTTATCCTTCTACCACTATTCCGTTGATCTGTACGATCTGCATTATGATTTTTATTAAACTAATTTTCTTGAATTTCTACTTTAGCATTTGATTCTTGTTCTCCGAATCCGTGCCAAAATGGCGGAGATTGTGAAAGTTTAGACGGGAGTCCAGTTTGTAACTGTCTTACTGGATTTTCTGGCGATAACTGTCAAAATTGTAGGTTTACTTCCCTCTTTTGTAAGCATTCGACAACTTTATTCTAGTTCAATTTTTTATAATCAAGATATAGGATTACCTAGCCCCATCGTAAGAGTTATTTTATGTTAACCTTATAAAAACGAAACAGATCGTCTCAAATGATTAGATTAATAAGTAGGCCTATTCAAATTAGCAACCAATATATATTCATTCATTGGGTTGGTGTTCGCCGGGGGATAGTTTTTACCATATTGTAGTTAAGTTGTAGTTAAGCATAACCTTGAGCTGTAATTCCTGGCCCCGAAACCTTGACTCAGAAGTACCGGGTTGGTGTCCGGCGGGGGATAGTTTTCCACCAAAGTTTTAACTGTTGTTTATTTTGTTGTACTGTGATGGTTACTCTTGTTGTTGTTATTGTAATATGTGTTTGCAGGACCATATTGTAAAACAGCGGTAAGATCTCGCCTGTATATGTTATCCTGCCTAAATATGTTTTAAATAAATATATTCATTCAATAAGAATTTTAAACCGTCAACCAATTACTGTAGATATTGTTACCATTTTACCCTAACGAATGTAAATACATCTGTGAAAGTTACGCATGTGAAAAGCAAAGAAAATAGTAAACACTATGAAAACATGGTACGAATAATACGAAGAATATATTCTTGATTTCAGTGGGTGGAACAACAGACTCTACAAATATATGTATGGATAACAATCCATGTTTAAACGGCGGTAACTGTGTGTTGTTAATTAGTGGATATTTCTGCCTGTGTCCAACTGGTTTCTTCGGTGATAACTGTGAAACAGGTATAAACACCGCCCTGTAGATATTTTGCTACCCAGAAACAAACCTGTTTCATCGTTTCTATTTAAACTAGATTTTGCACTCTAATTTGCCTTTATTATACTATTTTTAAAATATTTAAATGTATTGGTCTAGTCGTTTTATTTAAACTTAGGCCTACTGTTAACTCATGTTTCGGTAATCTTTTAAAATTGAACCTTGTCTGTATGAATTTATCCTCATGCCTAAAAAGGTGGCTATTTCTTGGTCAGTTGAAAGTTATTAACTGTCAATGGACTTAGCTAATTTGCTGTTTAGTTGGAGAACTATTTAATAAGACCACCAAAATGGCAAGACCATTAGGTTAGTCATATGCCATAGGCTATTTTAAGATATCAGTATCAAGTATCATAAATGGTGAGATCTTTCACACTTTAGTATCAAAACAAGTGCGAAGAATGCTAACAAGAACTAGGCCGTTTTTATGCTATAAAACTCACAAGAGAAATGTTAAGAATACTGTATGTGCTTATTCCATCTGTTAGGCCTAAGACAACCTAAATCCAAAGACCAGTAAATATTTTTGATTATCACTGAATGTGGAATTAACTCCTGGTTTTTGAATTAATGTAGTGTTGATTTTATGTTTTTTCCCCCGACGTATTTGTTATTAATAGATTTGCTTCCCTATTGTAGCCCTGGCTTGCTTAGCTAACCCATGTTCAAACGGTGGGACATGTGTGAGTAGTAGTAGCAGCAGCACTGGTTACGTTTGTCAGTGTTTACCAGACTTCGAGGGATCTACGTGTGAAACGCCAAGTAACAATTTATAAATCATTATTTTTCCTTGTTCGCTCTCATCTATACCTCAGAATTAAATTTTGTTCTATTTCTGTTTAGGGTGGATGGAGCATGATGGCATTTTTCCTTTCTGTCTATCAAAGTCTCATGTATTATTTTTTGTAACCACGTCATGTAAAATCAGGAAGCTTATAAATGTAATAATAATAATAATAATAATAATAATAATAATAATAATAATAATAATTTATTCATTTATATTACGCAAATTCAATAAAAAAAAAACATGTTCAAATTACACATTACAGAATTATAAAGTCAATAAAATAGATTAAAATTGACAATTTAATACTAGAGTAAAACCATTAAAATTCCATAAAAATATGATCAAAAGACGTATTACACAATATTAAAAAGTCAATTAAAACGGATAAAAATTTACAACTCAATAAAACAGTAAAACCATTAAAATTGACAAGTACAGGAAGTAAAAATAGTAAATTATTTGTTAAAAGCAATTGTAGAAAAATTTGTTTTCAACAGTGTTTTAAAAATTTCTAGGCTATTGGCTTCCTAATAAAAGGTGGCAGATCATTCCACAGCTTAGGTGGTGCATATTGAAATGCACCTAATGTGACTTTAGTGCGACAAACTGAATAACTTAAGATTGTATTATCATTGCTACTTAGCGATAAGTTTACTTAAATAAGATGGAGCAAAGCCATTAACACTTATATATGTAAGCAACAACATTTTGAAATTTATTCTATACCGTACTGAAACCAGTGTCACTCAAATAATAATGGCGTAATGTGACAAAATTGAGTTCAGCACACGTTGTAGTTTAGTAATTTTAGGTTGTCAAGTAGACCATATAAGAGACTGTTACAATAATCTAGACGACTACTGATGAGTGCGTTAACTAAAATTTCCGTGCATTCAATGTAAGCCTATATACACCTACATGGATTTGGATTAACGGTGGTGATCAATCCAGTTATTATTTGGGACCCTCGGCGCTCTCCACGTCTATTTCATAATGGTTTGTGGAGTAGTGAAGTTGGTTTATGTTTCAGAAAACATTGATATCATTAACCAAAATTGAATTCAGGACCCGAACGCATTAACCGCCGTGTTTTGATTTTTTGTCAGTAAAAAAATTATATCATTTATCCTCATCATTATCCACAGTATCATCACCACTTATCATCACAACATATTATGCTCCATATAGATATTTCGATTTAAACAATGCATACTTTATTCTATAACGTTTATATTAAAAGGGCAAACTTGAAAATGTAAATGTATCAATGTTTACTCTATATAAAGTACTACGCTCAATTTTAATATTTATTCGATTCTTTTCTTTTATTGGGAATTTTTATTATTATTTTGTATTATTCTCCTCATCAACATGATGAAGATGATGAGGATGATGATGGAGAAGATAATTATCAATATGATTATGATCATGATCCTGATCCTCATTCAGCGTCATGTTAATGGTCGTCATCTCCATCATGATGATGACCATTATCATTCATCATATTTCATCATTATCAAAAGATTATCCTGATCATGATCACCATTTACGATCATCAACATAATCATCACCATTACTCAATTTCTCATTGCATACGAAGGCTGTTTAATGAACATATTAAATGTGCAAATTTGAAATGTGGACGGATCTTCAACTTGCTGCTTTTACTGTTGCTGATGTTACTGTTTATTTTCTCGTTTATACTTAAAGGGTATGCAAATTAATACATTTCGTCTGCATATCTATGCTGTGCCTTCCGACTTGCTGATAATTTGGTTTTTATATATTTATGTCTATCTTGCAATTGCATTTGGAATTCGTATGTAACGAAATAACATAACTAATTATTTCTTGTTTTCATTTTTTTATCAAAGTTTTTATATTGGATGCTTGTGCAAATGATCCATGTCAAAATGGCGGAACGTGTAACGACATCAACAACGGTTATTTCTGTACATGTTTACCTGGTTGGTCTGGTACACAGTGTGAAATAGGTACAGTAGGATTAAAAAGCGGTTCAGTAGCCATCATCAAATCAAATCAACCATGCCATCATATTTATACTTATTCTTATATCTTTTATTAATAATAATAATAATAATAATTGTCGACTTATATAGCGCATATTGTAGGGACCTCTATGCGCTTACATTATTACCCCCGGATCACTGGATCAAGCACATATGGAACACACACTCAAGCCCCATGGGGAAATTCCATAATGTTGCAGCTGTATTCAGCGCAGGCTGTGTTTGGACGTACCAGGTACCCACTTGTACTCCTGGGTGGAGAGAGACAATCGTAGATAAAGTGCCTTGCCCAAGGACACGCAGTGGGAGTTTTGAACCCCCGACCTCAAGGTTGGGAGTCCAAAAAATTATTATCTTTATTTTTATTATTATTGTTATTAATATTATTATTATTTGTTTTAAATTATTATTATTATTATTATTTATATTAGTATTATGCCTATCATTACAATATTATTATTACTAAGCAATTAGTAGAGTTCCGCATAGTACACTATAGGAAAATTATTATACGAAGGTTAGATTTAATGCTTTAAAAAATCCTGAAGGGCCTGCAAGGCCCGGAGGAAATTTTTGAATGCATTAAATGTAACCTAAGTGTAATAATTTTCCTTTAGTGTACTATGCGGAACTCTACTAATTGCTTTATAAGTCAATTACCGTCTTTTAATTTTAGTTTTTGATAACCAAATAGTGTATCAGTCATCGGTTGCTATAGTGATTTACATTTAGCTGTGCGTATGCAATGCTGATCCTAAGTACGTAGGTCTACGCGTTAACTACACACAAAGAGTATAAAACTGCAAGAGGTCCGACTGCCGGGGATTCTTTGGAACGCAATCCTATTTCAAAAAGTACTACCCAAAAGGGGCGTGGCCTTTCAAAGAACGTAAAGGGCGTTCATATTGAACGCGTGCTGCGCGTCAATAGAATGTAGGCTGAAATTTGAAACGCAGCACGCGTTCGATACGAACGCCTTTTACGTTCTTATGAAGGACACGCCCCTTCGTGGGAGTACTTGTTAACGTTCCATTGCCTGTATACAAAATAACGACAGTCGGACCTCTTGCAGTTTTATACACTTTGCTACACACAACACTGTGTAATACAACTGATCACCAATGCCCAGTGTGTGGCAGATAATTTAAAGCAAACATCGGCCTCATAAGTCATAAACCGCGGAAACTTACCTGCACCTATTGTGATCTTGGTCATCTTCGATTACGAAGGACGAACTACTACTACTACTACACATCAGCAGTAAATAACAGTACGAATACGATGAAGACTATTGTAATTGTGTTAGAAAGAACTTGTTTGTAATGCTATTTTGATAGACATTCGTGAAAGAAATAAACATTTCAGCATTTGAGAGAGAATACGGTCACTGTCGTTTTTGGTCGGTGCATGCAGACAGGTAAAAATCGTGCGATGATTTCATAAGGCCAGGCTACGGCTTAGTAGATAGGAGGCGGCCTCTTGTCTGGACGTAGGCCTACATCCAAATCTGTTCCTGGAGTCTTTAAAATAGGTCTAGAATATTCTTATTAAACGTTCAGTTTGTTTTGTTTATGAGGGTTCATTGATTCAATGAATTCTTTATTTGTTCATATTTAATATTCAATTTGAAGTAACTTAACTTTCTTCGGATCCTCATTAAGCTTGTTTTACGAAAGTAATTGAATTTTCATCGCGATACGCGATGTCTCCGCAGTGACGAAAAAATAAGGAATTTTTTTTTTGCACCGGAACCTAAAAAAAATCAAGCCAACGATTGACTTATAATATCAATTATTATTAATACTATCAATTATTATTATTATTATTATTATTATTATTATTATTATTATTATTATTATTATACTACGAATTTTTGACACAATCAATTAAAACAAAAATCATACATTTAACTTATTTATTTAGGTGATGGGTCCCCTTGTGATAGCTCCCCTTGTCAGAACGGAGGGGCTTGCAACGATTTGAACACATTCTATACATGCACGTGCGCAGATTCGTGGACTGGACAAGTATGCACAACTGGTGAGTTAGATTAACATTGTTACGTACTGAGTGCATCTTAATCGCGCATCCGATACAAATCAATTCAAATTAACATCAGCAACTGTACTGCTGAATGCTTTGACGGTTCCACCTTACATGATAAATAATTATAAGTTGATATTTCTAAAAAGAATATAAACACATTTGTAGTATGAAAGATAAAGGTAAAAACAATCTAGTAGGCCTATGAATGTTTAAAAACTGGGGGGGGGGGTGGAAGTTGGAAAAAAAAGGGAATAATTTAAAACTAATAAATGATACCAGGTAGTTGTTATAGTGTCACTATAACAACTCCCTGTTGATACCTACTTTTTAAAACTAAACGTTTCAAATTAGCGGATTTTGTTCCAATCTATACACATTTCAGATAGTACTGTAGGCCTATATTTGAAACAACTGGTTGGTATAAGTTTTAAAACTAATACAATTAGAGCCTATGAACATATTTTGAGTAAATCTCACTACTAGTAAGACGTTGTCTGAACCGTACACAGGTACCTGTGGTCGGTCCAGTCCATGTTCAAATGGTGGATTATGTGCAGATGGTGTTGATGGTTCCATTTACACTTGTGATTGTCCTACCGGATATCTCGGCGATACGTGTGATCAAGGTAAATACTAAATAGTACGAGGTACTGAAAACCAAGCTTGTTTCATGGCTAACATTTTTAATCAACGAGTCTACCAATTCCTAACTTGATTTTTAAAAAAAAGTCTCACCTTTTAGTAACATTGTAGGCCTAGCTTTACACTCTTTTTCTCGGCGCACTGCGAATAATAGAGATAGAGTGTCTCTACAAGGATCAACGTGATACGCCCTCAACTTAATAAAAGAGGGTTCCAGAGTTACAAATATGTGTTATTTTTTTTTTTAAATAGTAGTACGATCAGGCCTAATTAAGATCTTAATATTCTGAAACGTTAGTGAAGAATGCGTGTGTACAGTTAAATTATTATTAAATAAATAAATACAAAAATAAATTTATACATTTTTTAAAAATTTAAAGTTGATCCATGCTTGCCCAGTAATCCATGCCAAAATGGTGGTGCGTGCTCTGCAGATTCTTCAGGCTTCGTGTGTACATGTACAGTTGGCTGGGTTGGCACTACGTGTAATACCGGTAGGAAAATTTTTCAGTATCAGTTAACACCACAGAAACACATCACATAACACAATGCACCAATGTGTTGCGGCGTTATCATTGTTGCTGAAAATATAGGAAATAATTAATTATGTAGAGTAATTATGATATACAGTAATATAGGCCAAATGTCGTATCGTTGTGTTATTAAGAATACTTTTCATGCCTTGAACCTGTCCAGATTATTAAGTTTGTGACATGCCTTATGGTCATGGTGATATCACATCGTGACCATATATGGGCACATAATGACTATATATAGGCCACACAACAGTTTTTTGTCAAAGAAAATTTGATAGCCTGGACAGTGCTTTACAGTATATTTTTGTTTTCCTCTCAGTTAATGGTTGTACTGGAAACCCTTGTCAGAACGGTGGAACTTGTGTTGGATCTGGTTTTAGTTTTAGTTGTGACTGTCTGGCTGGTTATTCCGGCGATCGTTGTGAAATTAGTATGCTTAAGTTTTATTTTAATTTATTATCCGATATTATGGTTTATCACATTATATTACATGTTCAAGATAGACTTTTCATCATTCTTTTTCATCTTTTGTTACATTTTCGTGCAAGCCTTGTTAATTTTCATTGCAAACACTGCCATGTGTAGTAGGCTATTCATTGATTTTTAGACAAGCTTTGTAAGCGTACGTGTACTATGCACCGTTGTGGCATTGATAGATGTTGTCATCTGTGCTTATGTAGACTAGAATAAAGATGTGTGTTACTTATACCTACAGGTAATCCATGTGTGTTGAATGACCCATGTTTAAATGGCGCAGTATGCGCACCTGGTGGCTCAGGCAGCTATACGTGCATTTGCGCCAATGGGTTTATTGGTCAAAATTGTGATGCAGGTAAAGTATGCAGCACTTGTTATGGTGAATTATTGAACTGCCAATGTTTTTTTTCTGTTTCAGATAATTACACGGTCTTTGTAATTTAACTTAACATTAGGCCTATGAATAATAGGCCTATTGTGTAGTATATCATAGGGGCCTATGAAATTATAATATCAAACACATCATAGGCCTGTGTTATATATGAATATTATTCAAAAGTAAAGATACAACTTCGTACTAAAAATGATAGTCAAGGCTATTAAACTTTAATCCAATACTGTACAAAATTGAAAATAATCTTTTGCAGTACATCTATTAATGTACACGGGAAATGAAAAAGTTGTCAACTCTGAAGATACCGGAATACACTAAGATTTTAAGTAATATTTAATAATGATAGAAACAATTAATTATCGTATCATTCTGCCTAACTTAATTATCTATGAATAATAATTATGTATAGTAATAGTTAGCAGGAGACGTCTGCCAAAAAAATTTACCTAAGCATCATTCAATCATGCATTTCATTTTCAGTTGACTTGTGTTTCAATTTGCCATGCCAGAACAACGGGATATGTTCTTTATCAACGAATAGCTATGTATGCGACTGCGGTCAGGATTATGTTGGTACTAATTGCGAGTATGGTACGAATGAATAACATTATGTGTATACTTTTCTGATAATTTTTTATATAATGTATCCATATAACGTCTCCAGTAAATAGGCCTGTACAAAAATTAACAGGTTTAGTGTGTCAACGAATTGCCAATAAATATTTTTTATCTAGTTATGACCTGACTTTGCCCATCTGATCTAGGTTTCTTTTGAAAGATCATAGATCCTAGTTAGGTTTTACCAAAAACCTTGTGCAATTTTTCAGTATAAGTCATTATTTTCCCTGTCAGATAATCCGTGTATTCCCAATCCTTGTGAGAACAGCGGAACCTGCAATCTCAATGGATTTCAGTTGTATGTTTGTGTATGCCCGGCTGGATGGACTGGTACCAATTGTAATATAGGTAGGCCTAGCATGTGCCGACAGCTTGCTAATACTTCTCCATTAATCTGGCATCTTGCTTGCTATCTCTCTTGCTTGTATTCCTTTCCCTGCATCTTTGATAATTTCTATCGCCATTTTTGTGTGGGCAGCGGTTTGCTTAAACATTTGAATTTTAATCTTTCAGCAACAATATAAATTATTATGTCTGCTTTACGTTTATAATGATAACAATTTTTTTCAGTGTATATTTAATGTACTAGGTTTTAACCTTGTTTTCTTACATTTATTATGCTGTATTGTTGGCCTACAGGATTTACGTGACAACAAGTTTAAAATATTTTTACAATCTTACAATTCATGCACATGTTTAGAAGCAGCTTGTGACTCAAACCCTTGCCACAATGGAGCACCGTGTATTCTGACCAACCCAGGTTATCGATGCCAGTGCAGTATAGGTTGGATTGGTGTCAATTGCGATACAGGTGTGACCTTGTTAACATATACTTCTATTAATATTATTATCAAGGTTTCTCTAAACCTGCTGAACAACAAAAAGCTAACTTTGAGGTACCTGCAGAGAGACTATAAGGCATTACTCTTAGTAATTACATTTTAGTTACATGCACAGTTGTCTATAGTTGTCTATAGAAGCAAAATACAAGATGCATAGCATCTTTTACAAAATTTGTTTACATTATCAGGTGCGGATCCAGATGTCCGGTGGAGGGGGGGGGGGGGGGCGAAAGTTGGGCCGATCGAGACAACACTGTCCTACGGTGTCTTCTTTTTTTTTTCTTTTCTTTCTTTATTGTTTATCCTGGGGGACTGCTCATGGATAAAATCCCTGGTCCGGGTGCATCTTTGTGTTCTAGTTGCCCGAAAATAACATTTAAGGCGTTCTAGGCTCATTTTTTTTCTTTTTCTTTTTCTTTTTTTTTTTTTTTTTTTTTTT